AGCGCAACGGGTGGGGGTTGTCACTAGCGGTGATTTACCCTTAATAGGTGCCACTCAAAGCCTTTTATATCATTTTGATCTTACATTGCAAATAATGTTGCGTGTGTGGTAGATTGTCCCAAAAACTCAATATACATTGAGACCAGAAGTGACTGCCCGAAAAGTTATTGTTGAAATCCAGCTGTTACTTTATTAATTGACACCGCATGTTAATTCATTCTTAAATTTGTGAAATGAAGAATTGGAATAAATGAAAGTAGATTTCGGATGTAATTTTCTCGGATCATTCATTTTTGTCAGTATAAGCTCTAAAAAGAAAAACAGTGCCCATATCCTTATCAATTGTCTAACAAAAAATAGGTCTAGCATTTTATTGGGAGTTTTTTTTAGTTTAAGTAAATTACTTGCGAAATCCGTTGAAGGCTCACGTTGTAGTTTTCAATCAGTTTTAGAGGATCTAGTTTGTCCACGGCACTTACTGCATACAGAATAAAAGGCTTTTACTTTTATGTCTCCGCGGAAAAATCGCCTACATACAAAACACTTTCAGAAAATAGTTCATTGCTCCTATTTGTTATGCTCTTTGTTGATGGACATTTGCACATAAAAACCTCCATCCACGCGTTTTTCTTATATTTCTGTAATAGGTAACATAAGTACTCGGTGCTCTTAAAGTAAAGCTCTTTATTTATAAATCAATACGTGCATTGAAAAAGCGCACGTCGAATTCCTCCTTTGGAGGCTTCGGCTAATACAGGGTAGATATTGATAAGATAATTATGCTTTCTCATATGTTACCTTTTAGGTAAGATCTCTATTTATATGTAAGTTCATTCATGTTCCTTTGACATCCATTTTCTACCTTTAATTCTATACCTATTTTTTCATTTCATTGGGCAGCATAACGAAAGTCTTCATATTTTACGAGTCCTTTGATGAATCCCCTAAACCCTAACTAAAGTTAATGGGAACAAAACTATCATATAAAGCATACGGAATGTTTTGTTTTAACAGTAATTTAATAGTATTTTTTAACTGAGCTTAAGAGCGAATATCGAGCTCAATTGTTAATAATCTTATCCTAAAACATTAAAACACATTCCGTTTTAACTGTGCTCAAAAGCAAGCCTATCAGTTAATAATCTGAGCATCTTGCACTAAAAATGTAAACTTTCATAGTAATTTCTATCATTCTGGCCGATCAGGCGATGACATGATAAGCAAACCGAACACGTCGAAGCATTGTAATATATTGATTTTGTCGGTTGAATTGCTCGCTATAATGGGACCGAAAGAAATAAATGGTAAGAAGGTGAAAGTAAAAAACAGTCTTGTGAAGACTCTTCTAGAGATATGTCGCACATTACAAACCGTTCGCTATTCTTCACGTACACTTTTACCTTCATTGCCAATCTCTTTAATCTAGCTTAGCCTGAGTAGATTTAATTGTTTGTATCATTAGTTGTAGAAGCCCCTCGATATGTCGTGAAAGCTCCGGGTTGCTTTACGTTGCTTAACTTCTTCAGGCAAAAAATCACAGAAACGTTCAAAGAAAATAAGTTCATTCGGTTGGTCGAAAACGGTTTTGAAAATTATCTACTATTGGTGAGAACGGTGGATTTTTTTGCTCTAGGTTTTCTTAGCAATGTTTTGTCAGTTATCTGCTTCTTCGCCGGCTTCAGTAGACGATGCCGGGGGTCGTTTGTTAGTTGACGAAGCTTCGATAATGACCGAAATTATTCCTGGTCTTGTGTCTCTAGGATTATTCGGTTCCGGCCTCGATTCGCTCGAGGCCTCCTCTACGCTTTCCTCAGTTGATGCTGCAGATTCTTGTATGTCATTTTTAGTGGGACAATTATCCGCTGTGTGCCCGAAGTTGCTACGTAGAAAGCACCTCATGTTGTCAGCTCACTCGCAGAAAAAACAATCGTTTGTTCCTTTTGTGGGAATTTAAATTTCATTTGTAGTACGGACGAGTATATGTACAATGGGATACGTTGATAGAGCTACTATCTCCATGACCAGAAATAGCGCTAATCTCTTGGGTGTTAGATATTGCATTTGGCCCACCATAACGGAAGACATAAGACACTACACGACTGAATAAGAGGAGCTCCCCTCTCTAAACCAATCAATGATATTTGCACTGATATCGACAATTTCCAATTTCCAGGAATCGAAATTAACTGATACACACAGCTTACGACAATCAAAGAAAGCACTTATCTTAATAATCATTCGTCGTCCTGGAATGGTACACACGATAACCCCAAGGAATTCGTGTGAAATTCCCTTAGACACTTATATGCTACACCTCCACCGATCACCACGAAAACACACCTTTTCCTCGTGCTGTCACGGTAAAGACTGAAGGCAGCTGCAATGGGTTTGATTTCAGAGTGAGGTGGGGATATGTTTTAGAGCATCCTTTGGGAATATCAGAGCCATATGACGTTCCTTGCTATAGGCATCCTTATAGAGCGAAGACACAAGGCGTTGGTGACAGTGTGGTGGACACATAGGTCACTTTAAGATATTGTTTTATTTAAAATATGTTGATAATTTGTTCATATTGCGTATAACAAAACTTCATATTCAGAGCTAAGTCATTATACTCGTTTCTAACCTGCATTTGTTCTAATTAATTTCGATTGTGATTACAACGAAAGGATTACTATATGGCGATCATGCCAATCGTTCCCGTTTCACCAAACTCGACAGAAGTTGTTCGATGGGTTCCGTAAATTAAAAAATAAAAAGTATACAAATACAATAAAAAATTCGGACCGGCCAAGTAACAAATACCCTAGTCGTGCATTCGGTTTCAAAGTGAAAAAAATATTTATCCCATGTGTGCTATTGTGCTTCGAAATTGCCGAAATGTTGTACATTAAAACCATAAAAAGGTGTGGTTATCTCCAAGTCTAATTTTTTTTTTGTTTCCCTTATCAGTTCGTCTTCATAGTAACCTTGCACTAGTCCGATCCCTTGAGAAGTCACTTATGTACCAAGATGCAATTATCCATCAGCAATTCACTGCAGAATGCAGAAATTATTGTTAATTTTAGTAAATTATTAATTGTTACAAAATTAAAAAAACAAAATTGAGAATTTGAACTTAATTTTAAAGCTGTGAATGGTTTGGAAGTTTAAAAGTTTCAGATCTCTGCGTGAAACGGTCGTTTAAATCGACATCCTCCCCGCAATTTGAAATTGTGAGCCATCAAGGTATTTCTAACTTCAATTGAGGTTTGATGATACAATCATGCATCACTTTGGATCTTTTGGCTTTCAAATTGAAAATAAACCTAACAATGTTCTTCAGGTAAAATTTTTATTCTTTCAATTCTCAGATATTAAACTTTTACCTTTTGGAAAGTATTTATAATACAGGTTTCATATGGTGCCTTTTTTTTACGGTTCCTCTTTTACCAGGATGGCGCTGTTAAATTACGCGCTACTAAATATTTTTAAGAAATTTCCAGATACTGTTTCAAAATATGCTAGATTCGTCCCTTGGTGTTGATGTGTAAGGTCTAAACAAGGCGGCAAAGAAACCTTCAATAGCCAAAACCTTCTCCCTTGACCAGTCGCCTCAGAGTTTCTGCAGTAGGGTGATTCTTTCCCGGCCCTATACGACTAAATGTCAGACGAACGTAAACAAAAGATATCGAAATGAAATCAAGATTACAATTTTTGAGTTTCTAAATATCTAACTTCCGTTACCCGTTACCATTCCACAGAAAGGCATCGAAGATCAATAATCAATAAATCAAATATTTCACCATGTATGCGTACTTCATAAAAGTTACATAATTATGCGGGTGTCACTCCAGAATGTTATAGTTTCGCTTTCGATTGGTTACATAACCACACTGCAACAACATTATATAGCTGCCACATTTATATTACTGTAACGTATCCAAAGTAACAGCGTTATATAATATTTACATAGGACTGTAAGTACCAGTGTTTACTGGATGTGTACCATTAAAACCGTAACCAAATCCTATTCGCAACTAATTTGAGAGGCGTTAAAAGCTCCGTACATTTTAATGCGGGTGATTAATTTGTAGGTTTATTTGTGTGTATAATTCACATCAAAAATGAGATCTCATATCATCAGATTATATTTCGAAGTTGGTATTTGGAAGAACTTAATAATTTAATTACATTTTATTTTGGTGAGTCGGGTCGCCGTTTGTTAAAAGATATAAAAGACCGGATGGTATAAACCAAATGTTGGTTTAAAATTACTTACTTTAAAGATCGCATTTTCATTATGATACGAGTATTATATAGATACACGGTTAAATACACAGCAACTCTTTTCTTTAGCGAGATAGCTCGACGAACTTCGCAATGATAACGACTCATGTCCAATTATCACAATTTCATTCTATTACTGTAGAATTTTCGTTTTGAGCTAAAAAATGCCACGTTCTAGTTCTACAAACAACAGCTAGGGTAGGTACTATCCGAATCTACAGAATGATTTTGAGTCGAAAACTCTTAGGTGGGTAATGTACTAACTTGGCATACCAAGTATATTATTTTTGAGACTAGCATCTATAAGAGTGCTCCAATATTCAAATTTACTGCTCCGAAATCTACATAACGTGCGTTTATTGATCCTAAAACGGCGGTCCTCTTGACTTTCTCTACGTTCAACTCGCCAACTTAATTATGGAAGGAAGTTTTAAATTTAAACCGTTATTGCCAAGACGTAACTTTTTCCGCAGTTGGTTGTGACTTAGTTCGCCCGATTTCTAAATCGTGAACAAATCGGTTAGCAATATTTTCTGAATGAGTTTTCCTATTATTACATACTAAATACGAAAAAAAGATATAAAAAATTTACATTTTGTACTAAATAGGCGATCAAAAAATCGTTTTGCTTAACCGAATGGAAATAATTCCAGCGAAATATAGCAAAACTGTTATTTTCAATGGCGGGGTGTATAAGCGACTAGTTGAACGTTCAAAGTTTTATGTTCCAGATGTGCCAGATCCCCCTGGTAGACCGCTTATTATGAGCTTCACGTCTCGCTCTGTCAATCTTTCATGGGCTCCCACGCAGGATACGCATTATAGTCCCGTTACCCACTACATTATCCACACTCGGTAAGTATTAGACCATATAAGCTAATATATCTTCCCCTTCGACTACAGACAAACTATAACTGTATTGTGAAATCATATGGAAAGTTTAGCATAACGCTCAGTCGGTAATTATTCTATAAACAGGGTCAAAATTTAATTATTAAAATGCGTCAACTTACCCCTGGTCATTAATTATATACTTCGAATACATAATCAACGCCTCGATGTAATTCGTCAATAGGGAGTTGTAGTAGTCGGCGTACATGCATTCATTAACCACCCCATTTTACTTTTTGAACACATTGCTGAAGTTGAAATATATGTATACCTACATATAGTACAAACTTTACATTATACGGGTAGGTTGAGATCAAGTGGGCAATAATAAAACTAAAACTTATGAACAGATTCTGCGCTTTTGGCAATAATTTAAATAAACAAAATTTGGAGATTTCAACGAAAGACAAATAATGCGGAAGACTTACGTACCTACCTAATTGGAACCTTATTCCACTCACCTTTGGTAGCCAGTCACGAAGTCGAAGTAAAAAAAATTGGCGCATATATGCCTTGCATAGATACACAATACATTCTTATAGGCTTGTTGGCTCTGATTTTTACTCGTAATGTAGTAATTCGAGGAATCGTGAAAAGGAAGTGAACCGGAGGTTTTCAGAAAATGCACTTAAAGCGTAAATTGTGACAACTTTGGTATCTAAAGAGTTTAAAATTGCAAATGAAAGCTTTTAAAGGGCTGAAAAAATTGTTGATGGTGCAAAACAGTAAAACATAAAGAAGTAATGAGTCCTATTATAGGAAACTTAAAAAGAGAGAAAATACTTACTAAGGAAGAACAAGGTAGACTAGAGATCCTTGTTCAGGTCTTGATAAAGCTGAAGGGTGAAAGAAGTCCATGTCAATTTAGTACAAAAATATTAAATGGTCTCAAAAGGTTACAAAATATATGAACGTTACTGGATACCAAATTTAAATTAAACCTAATTTGTCAAAAGAAGCATCTAGTAGTCAAAAAGATAAATAAATGTCGAAATAGACAACAACTGATAAAGCTATAATGCATAAACGACTATCAAATTAAAATATTAATTACAACTTGGCTGTATCGAAAGCAAGTATGCACAAACGCAGTATTTTACGTTTGACTCATAACCGCAGCCTTTCTGGGCTCAGAAGAGTGCTGTCTGCCAATAATTCGCAATTAGATAAAAACAAAAAGAAAGAGAAAGGTTATGAACAACCGGGCGTATAAATCCCGAGAATGAAATAATCCAAGTTACGTTAGAAAACAATTTACAAAAATAATAGCTAGATCAAATCGGTTATCGGTATCGGAACGGTAAAATCGCAGTGTAATAATCTTCCAAAAGGATATCGGTCATCCTTGCAGTTAAAACAGGAACATGAGTAAATCTTCGGGTTTAATAATTTCAGGTGTAATATATCGCATGATGTTAACGGCACTAATCTCGAAACTCAAAATGGCGGTCAGTAATTTTCCAAAGCTGTGTTTATCAAGGATGTCAATGTCATCCGTAATGCTCAATGTAGAAAACAAAGTAGAACAAGCAGGAAACAAAACAGAGAAGAAAAGGAGCCCTATAAAAATATATACGATGGTAATCGATATATTTCGCAAATCAGGTAAATACGTGCGTAAATTTGGAAATATACCCGCTAAATGCGACACTGAAGAGTAATAAGCAAACCACAAGGAGAACTTTAGAGAAAATTCCAAACAAAGCCAAATTAAAGCCAGAAAGTAAAAAAATATGTCGTGAAAGTTTTTTTACAAGTAAGCCGTATACTATTCTCTTTTGAAGGTAAACGGAATGGATTTTTTTTTAAGGAACTGGTACTCTACGTAACCTCTGGTAAGAGGTGGAAAAGCACGTTGAGGATCCAAAAGTCCAAACATTATGGCAAATGAGTGAAGGGTTGCGGTAATACCCCTCTTCTAAATGCCCTCCCATAAAATCCTCACTAGCTACGTGCCTCGTATTAACACTCGCATCCTTTTGTTGTTGTTTTTTTTTAAATCATTAATGACACAGTTAAGGTCTTGCTCTCTGTATATATTAGGGATGTCAAACTACATAAAAAGGAAATGCAATAAAATAGGAGTGGAAACCGACATACACTTTTTTCATTTATGTACTAATAAGACAATGATTGTAAACTACCCCCTTTTCCTCTTTAACTTTGCTGAATTTTTTTACCGTGTTCGAGATTTGTTTGAATCGTCTGAAGAATGATGATGTAATTAGTAAAATCAGTTTTTTCTTTATTCAAATTCATTTTCAAATTTGCGTTGAATATTTTATTGGCATATTGTCAATACCACCTCTTTCTAGTACAGGGACATGTCTACTGGTATTTACGTTCATGTGTCTAATTAATATTATGTTTCGAATGTTTGATAAGTTGTTTTCAAATACGAAAGCTTTATTGTTCTAGTTCAGTGGTTAATATGCAAATATTATTTGAAGAGGAAGAGGGGTACTCGAGCTAGGGAAGTCAACAATGTTAATGCATTCAACAGACATAGAGAGAACGTTAATTTCATCGTACAATAAGCTCCGTTCGATCTAGTTCGGATACTAATATGACATCTAAATTCCTTTACGTAACATAATTAATTGTTCGTTCAAGTTATGTTTTTAATGTTTTCGGTAATTTGGTTCCCAACCGAAACGATAATATAATTGGTAATTGATCGATTTTGGTTTCGCCAGTGGGGAATTCAGAAAAACTGCATCGTATGGAAACGCCACCTTTCTTGTTCAGATATCCACGACATTCCAACTAAGACAATACGAGTAGTAACAGATTAATACCATTTTCATTACTATGTCCATAGATTAAAATAATAATGTAAATGGATTTTGTATTACCTATAAATTATTATCAAGTGAATAAAAAAAGTAGGTCTTCCAATCGTATTCTCAATAACATCCTTATTATTAAGTAAAGCAGAGGCTTTCACTTTTTTTAAACACGGAGCCCTCTAAAGTGGAATGTAAGATGAGCCCCAAGGACCTTGCAAGGGTGATCTGCGCCCGCGAGGTTCTGGTTGGATGAAGCTTATTTGACAGGGGGCCGAGGAGGGGGTCCGGGGCGTCCTCACCCGGAGAAAGTTTTTAAAAATTCAAGTTCGAATATCCACCTTTGGCGCCCCCAATTGTTATCGCAGTCCCACAAATGCGGCCCTTTTGATAAATGCAGAAAATACTACATTAGAAGGCGCAGGCGTTGGTTCTTCTGGTACCTATCCAGGAAATACGCTATTTTTTGTTGTGCTTTGAGTAGACGTGCGTGAGAAGGTGTGCTAGCGTGCGCCACTGGCGACGGAGCCCCTCCGGAGTCCTGAGGCTCTGCGGAGCACACTTTGAGAAAAGGAAACCTCGAAAAATTTGACAATATAAGTACTAATATTGATCAGAGAAATTCATCTACTTGCTTATATAACCGGAAGTGCCACCAATCTGATCATATTTTAGAGGAATTCCTCTTACCAAAATTAGTGCACTGTCAAATTTTGAAAATATATCTAGGTTTCCTTTTCGAGAAAAAGATAGCCGGCGTTCGTCGTGGGACATCCTGTGTATAATTATAGTTCTAGTATTAATACTAGTTTATTTGATTTGGAGCGTAAGCGGATCCATTTACCTTTTAATTTAAGTAAAATAAATCCAATTGTATTTCTAGCTTTTGCAACGGAGAGATTAATACGTCAAAAATCACAAATAATTTATGGAATTTTAACTGCCAAATTCAAAACATAGAGAGATAAACTTACCATTGAAGTTAGGGGAAAAAATTAAACTTACTAACTAATTATCAATACATCAATGAATCGTAACTTATAGAACTTATAGAAGTTTCATTTGGTTTGTAGCATAAAGGAACACCTTTGAAATTAGGGAAAAAATCCAATGTTGTTCCAAATTATCGCAACGGACTCATCAATACATCAAAAATCTCAAATTATTGAAAAGTTTTAATTTAGTTTATCTAATTCAGAACAGACAGGGATAAATTTGCACTTGAAGTAAGGGAAAAATTACACGTTGTTGCTAATTAAATTATAAAGGAGTGAGCGACACATAAAAAACTCCAATATTGTTACAAAATTATTACAAGGGGACGATCAATACGTTAACAATAATTAGATTTTAATTATGTATACCTAGCTTTTTAATTTACTAACCAACTTATCAAATTCAGAACGTAAAGGGATGAAATTACCCTTAAAGTTGGGGGAAATTATAAAGGGATGAAAGATACATAAAAAATCGCAGGATTTGGGAAGCACTGGAGCTGCTGCCGCCATTCAGTTACGAAAATGAAAACAAAAACACCAATAAACCACAATGATACATTAAAAGATCGATCGCGTTTAAACAGCAAAGGTATCATAATCAGCGAACAACTGATGCCAGTTCATTTGATTTAGAGCAGGGTGGTACACATTTACCTTTGAGATTAGGGAAAAAATTACAAACAACGGAACGATCTGTACGTCAAAGATCGCAAATCTAATTTGTAAAATTTTTTTGCATACTTGGCGGTATTTCATACCTCTAGGTGATTATATAATTCATCGGGCGTGCGAGGTGAGGCGGCGCAGCCGCTGAAACCGAGCGTATGTCTCAGCCAAGAAAACATTGACTGATCAAAATAAGAAATACGTCAAAAACCTGAAATTATTACAAAAATGTACCACCGGTTTATTCAATTCAGAAACTAAAGAGACGAATTTGCCTTGGAAGAAAAATAAAAGTTTGTTATTAATTATTGTAAAGGGTTGAGCGATCTTGTTCTTCAAACGATTGGCATTAATGTTATAAAACTAGTAATTATCAAAGCAGAATTTCGCCTGATTCACCATTTAAATTGTTTTGAAAATTAGAGAAATCGGGAAGGAATATCAACTGAAACCTTACAATCACTTTAAGATCGTCTGAAATTGCTGGAAAACCCTTGAAATCACATCGAAGTACTTGAAACCACGTGGAAACCACTTGAAACTTTTAGAAACCACCTGGAAGCTTTTGAAGTCTGACGTATACCTTTCTTAAAGGAGAATTACTCTCGTAATAAATAAATTTATTATCAACAAATTTATAGACTGCAGTTTGCTATGAATTTTCTTCTATAAAATACTAGATAATGCGGACCTTATCTTTACGAAAGAGTCTCTTTTGTTGCGCTTCGTTAAAATCTAAATATCGAAATAAACTAGTCAGTAATTCTTGATTTTGAAAGAGTTACTTTGCACTTTAAAATCTGATATACAAATTTAGCGTTTAACGTATACCTTTATTGCAATTTATTACGCCAACTTACCAACCCCCGGTGGAGCGCGCCCCAGAGTTTGAGACTCTGGGACGTTTATCACCAGCCCTAGAAGGTACAGCAGCAAACGTAACAGCAAATAACCGGTATTATATTTTTATCAATTACTGTTGCGACTGAAAATTAAAACGGTCTCGAATAAAATGGGATGGAATTCACTTTAACTAAAATCAATAAGGCTAACAGCAAAATTAATAAGTGATTTAAAATGTCCAACCCTTTTGAGTAATTAATTAAAACAAAGTAAGCTGCCCTCACAAGATTCTCTCACTATAACGTTAACCGATTTAATTAATGCAGTTTCCGTGATGTGAAGTTTTCCGAAACTTGATACGAACCTTCTAGTAGACTAGTAAACATGTATTAATTATATGCATACGATACTTTACATTTGCATACCGCATTTTGATTGGCAGAATATTAATTTCATCTAAACCATCCGCTTTTGACGTAATTGAGCCGAATCAGTTAAGGGAAGTAGGTGTAGTTGGTTTATATTACATAAGACACAACGCTGGCGTCTATCATTTGTGTTGTAGTATGCAACTGAGAAGTGTTTCGTCAACATAACTTTTTAGTCCAGTGAATAGAAGAGACAAAAAGAGGGCGGTTACCTTACAAACGTCCTGTAGTTTTTTTTAAGTTAATAATATAATTTAACGAAATTCTAGCCTTCCCGGCTATTCCACGTAGATGGTATACCTGAAGTGGGCAGGGGTGGTTAATCCCTGGAGCTCCCACTTCCCTGAGTACTTGTTTTAATAAGGGCCAAGTGTCGTCATCATACGCCTCAGGGGTGTCACTCATGTTGATAAAATTCCTTTTATCACGCTTGATGAGTAACCGTCGAAGACATCCATTGCGCAAATTTGAAAGGTATTCCGCCCGTTTCTTAGGCCAGACTAAAATCTATTCTGGTTTTGGGTAGCAGATGACCTGACTTTTCCGGATTAACATATAGAGTCAGATAGTAACTCTTTTTGTCGCAGAATAGCTACTCATGTTGGGTAAGTTCTCTAATCCACGTTTATTGTTTAGAAATTCCTCTACTCATGTTATCAAACTTCCCTTAGTATCGTAAGATGAGCCGTCAAGTAGATATACTTTCGATACTCCACTCCATCACGCACTTGAATGATACGGCATAAGCTGAGATTTACTATAATTAGGCAGTTAACTGTTAAAGAACCAAAGCCAAGATAAAGCTTTGGGGTTGTCTTAAATGCAATTTTATACAGGCTGTTTCACGCAAACCGTTACCTAAAAGTATTCAGACTCCCATTAATAATTTATGCTACATGTGAATGATTTAATTTTTGATCGCCCTTCTACAGGGTGTTTTAAAATTAATGGTCAAGTTTAATAACATCGAACCTTAAAAAGTTGATGAACCTGCTTTATTTTTTTGCACTTTCAAATGTGGAAAAAAATTCTACCTCGATCAATTATTACATTCCCTATACCTATCTGTAATGGTTTCCGGTTTATTTAAGATTTTCTAAATTTGTGACCGTTATATGCATAATTTGAAGAGCACTTGCAGGACCCGGCGACCACGCTATATTGTTTCAGTGGCAGCAGCAAGCTCCATATGTTTGACCAATTCAGGTTGAGCACCCATAAAATTACCTCCACAGTCACTAAACATCTGTACAACTCTGTCTTGTCTTTGGTAGCGCAACAAATAAAGATAAACAGATAAGCTTTAAAAGCTCGAACACCCCGATGACGGAACATCGTGCCATTGAAAGAGTCTGCAAAATCGACCATAGACCGTAGGAATCACTTGAGACACCTTTGAAAGCGGCAAGTTGCCCATCGGGGGTTGAAAGGAAGAGGGCGATCCCTTCCAGCATCGTATACATTTCGAAAGTACGGAATTAATAGCACGCTGTATCGAAAACAGGGGTTTGAGGTACTCTAACAGTGGTGGCCATCGAATCTAAACCTTTAATCTCCATATCGAGAGAAGGGCGTTTGGAAGGCCTAAAGTCCTGGCGGCTCGCTTGGTAATAAATGAGGTCATACTCCTCGAGAGCAGTATACAGCGATAAGAACGAGGATTACACTTGCAATCGATGATATCAATAAATGCGGTAGGTAGAAGTAAGTGGTTAAGTGTCTTGTTTTTTTTCCAAAAATTCAGCAATTTATTTCTTCCTCCACAGAGACAGCAATGACTGCTGAAGTGAAAACATTTCACAACTGACCTCAGCACAGACCTTTTAGAGCTCCTTAAGGGTGGAAAACCGGACCATCATCCCGCTACTTAGACGGTGTATATGGGCGGCTATTATCGCGTCATTGCCATATTTTTTTGGCATGTTCTATGAACTGGTATTTCCTCTTTCCCCGCTATGATTTGTATATAGTCTTTTTTGCCCTTTTTTAGCTGGGTCAATTCCTGTACGGGTAGTCTTTCTTTTCAAATCTTTATTGCAAATGAAGCATACCTATATTATCTGACATCTGTGATCTGTGCTTCTGACTCCATTGTTAATGGCCACAAACACTGTTACAGTGTACCATTTTTCAGATACAATATGCAGTCTCATAAGGCAATATGTCGTTGTTTCAACTTTAACATTGGTGTTTGCTCTCCAATTAATAGGGTCGGTTCAAAAGAATTTACATGCATTTTACATAAGGAAATTTCTTACATATTGCATTCTGATACTTGTTTTCATAGAATATATGCCATAACTCAATTACAGCCTTCTAAAGTTATAATTTTGACAATTTTTCGAAAAATGCATTTTTTTTTGTGCAGTAAGTGAAGTAAGATAACCCCCCTCTATTTAATGGATTATTTTTGGACATAATGCTGCGGAGAAACTGAACTTGAAAAGGCTGTCAAAGCAACTGGATATACAGACCAGGATTGGAAGAGACGTCAACAAAAGCAATTAATTTCTACAGGGCGATAGAAAGTAGTAAAGATTAAATGACAATCCGCCATAATGAGTCTAAAGTAGACGCTGTATGAGCCACTACTTCAGCTCACCAGACAAACATGAGAGGTGTCCGGAAGAAAACGTGCAAAATGTCAGGGTACTGGCACAGATATAAATTTAAGAAACTAGCATTGAGGAATATCGACGTTTTTGTCACCTGGTGTATTGGACAGATTTTTTCAAGAAGAGGGATAGAAATAACCAAAAAATACATTGGAGCATTTAAAAATGCCTGTTCCAAAGTGCAAGACATGTTTTAAGATTTTTAAACATGTTAAAATACGTGGGAAAACCATTCCAAATTGACCTCCGCTTGGAGAAATTAGACCAGAAATGATGTAAATTTTGAGTATAAAGACTAACAAAAACATTTTTTCAATAATTTATTATATTTTTTGTGGGTGGACCTACTGTAATTCTTATTCAATCGAAATGGAAACTGATGGGTCCAAAGATGGACTAGGAGTCAGCCAAAATTGAAAGTATACAGGGTGTAGCACCAAGATCCCTCGGATCCGGATCATAACTCCTTTACCATAAAAGATACCGAAAAAAGTCTTAGAGCAAAATTGTACACAATTACCGCCGTATAGTGAGAATGCTAATTCTGGCCAAAACAATTTCGTTGGAGTCGAGAATCCCTACAAGATCTGGTAGGCCTCTTGAGGCAAGAACACTGACGACACTGAAAAGAGAATTGATAAGATAACTAAGTTGCAAGGAACATAGTTTTCTTGGATTCCCAAGGGCAAAAACTTGAAATCACGCAAAAAATGCACGCTTTAAAACAAGATAGCGAAAACGCCGTGTTCAGCGAGATAGCCATGGTTTTCTAGGATTATGAGGGGATTCTGTTGATTAAGTACATTCTAAAAGGGCGCTATAATTATCGGAGAGGTTAATAAAGAGACTATTAAAAACCTTAAAGTCGAGAGAGAAATGAGGGAATTTTTGCCGATAAGGCGATACTGCCACAGACATTTGCAGAGTGCACGGTTCGACTTTTCATTTTCTCAAATTGCACTTGTTTTATATACATATTCTTGACTGATATTGCTGCATTATTGTGCATATATAGTTCATCGAGTTACTTCAAACCGCGCACAATTTCGGGAAACGGATTAAATAAGAAGTTAAACAATTAACTCTTATTCCCTTTGCTAATCATCCACTCTAGACCTAATTCATACAAATGGAAGTTATGCGTTATGATTGAAATAACTCGCATAACTCCAGTCGCAGAAACCTTGTAGTTTCCGTTTTTCCTGCCGTTCATGGTTTTTATTGCACCTATTTATAAAATGTCCAATTTATTTGTACAATCGGAGCAGAACTATGCGATTGCACGTACATTGCCGGAATATGTACAGAACCCTATCACTGAACTAAAGGTTTGTTCGAGTACACATTTCACGAGAATGCATTCGTTGGCGCGTAAACTTGACCAACACCAAAATGGAATAATACCGACATTGACAATTGATTTATCACTATTCAACATTTTTGAGTCGTGACATATTTTTATTGCGTTTCTACTACCATCATTAATTTAAACAATCATATACAAATTCATGCAAATAATACACTGTCAAATTGAAAGTTTAAACGTGTTCTGTTTTCAGAGTTGGAGAGGATGGAGAGTGGAACGTGATTGATGGTATTCTGACACCTAATAATGAAACCAACTACCACGTAACGAATCTTCAGCCATATACCGTTTACAGCTTTCGAGTGGTGGCCGTTAATGCAATGGGGGCGAGTACCCCCAGCAAGGAATCCTATTACATGGTTACTTTGAGAGAAAGTAAGTTCATTTTGATCTAATGGGTTGTCTTACATAATACTTTCATTGTTGTTTTAACAATATAAGGAACTAAAATATAGGTACCCTTTGATTTTATCCGTATAGTCTATATTTCTTTAATAAACATGATGTACGTCCTTTTACAGTTTAATAACTGCAACCACTGAGAATTCCAAAAGTAGCTGAGATTTCCGCGAAATTCACCTTATATTAGCAATCAAGTTTTGAAAAATCAAAATTAAAGTTTGCTGGTATAATAACCCTAACAAATTTATCTATACAAAGCTCTTCTCAGTGTTAGACTCGTACTATACACCCCTAGATACACCCTTTTTGTGGAACAGGAAACTCTATAGACTTTTAAAAACTCCAAGATCGCAAAAACAACATAAAGGGTAAAAGAACCGACAGATCCGAATAGTTTTAAATGATTTAAACGCACTTAAATAACGCTAATGAACGTACGCAATTTGATATAAAATATTTTTCAAAATGTTTAGGGCGCGATCTAGCCCACGTTAGGGTTGCTTAGGTAGGAATTGTGTAAATATTCTCATTTATATTAAATCTATATTTAGCATCCCTTAAACAACGCTAATAAAGTCTTTTTATTAGAAATAATTTTCAAATTTGGTCTTCATTATTAGATAAACGTAGTGAGTACAAGCGAGAAGATTTTAGAGACGTTTAAATAGACACTATTTAAGTAGGTATTCTAATTTATAATAAATTCCTTAAACAACGCTATCGTATATCCGGGTTTTGATTAAAAATAATTTTCAAAGCGTTTCGCCTTTCTTAGAAAACGTAGTCTGAACGATCAAGATCATTTTAGGGGTGTTTAGGTAGGAATTATGTGAATAGTATCATTTATAATAAATTTACGCTCAAAATATCCGAATTATAAGGAATCTACCATTATCATCTCTTTAACAACCCCATTCAAGTTCTTCTATATACGTGCTATTTCATTAGAAATAATTTTCCAAGTTACTCGCCCTTCTTGGGTAGTATGAGACAATTTTTTGGGTGTTTGGTAGGAATTATTTAAATATTGCAATTTATAATAAATGTACCCTTATCATCACTTAAACAACGCCAATGAAGTTATTTCATATTTAGAGAATACGATCGAAATTATGTTAGGGGTGGGAATTGTGTAAATATTCAAACTTTTAATTTTTTTATCCATTTATTATCAATCAGAATAATACAACATTATATGAGTTAATGTTGTGTATGCGAACTAGACTTCATTGGTAGACTCCCAGTGGAGTTTAGTTTAACTTCTTCTGTAGGGGTCTATTTTGGGGATCTTGTTAATGACAGTGCTTAGCATATTTAGAATTATGCTGTTTTGTTGAAGGAGTTGGTTCAATAGAGCTTTGCATTCGTCCAAGAATTGTTGGAGAGCCATGTCTTGATTTGGGTGACTCTAGGTGGGAATGTTGACTATTTTGCTGGTGATTTCGGAATGGATAATTTTTTGTTGAGTTTTGACTGCTAGTTGGTCATTAGGTTGGTATTTCTTTTGCAATTCCTGATATAGAGTGCCTTTCGTGTAATTTGGCGAATGTGATCCTTCTCATAATACGCTTCGTTGCTTCGGTGTCCCTGGTTTCACCTCAAGTTTACATCTTTTGCATTGTGAATCGACACTGTTCATCCCTTAAACAATAATATACGATTTTATTTCATTAGAAATAATTTCCCAAGTTTCTTAAGTAAACGTCGGGAGTACATTCGAGATTGTTTTAGGAGTGTTTAGATAGGAATTATCTAAATCTTCTATTTCACTAAAAACAATTTTCCAAGTTAGCCACCCTCTTCAGATAAAAGTACGTTTGTACGACTGATACAATTTTTGGGGTGTTTAGGTCATCATTATTTAAATATTGTTATTTATAATAAATCTACCCTTATCATCACTTAAACAGCGCTAATTAGTTCTTTTCATCAAGATTTCATTAGGAATGATATTTTAAGTTGGTTACCCTTTTTAGAAAGTAGAGGATACGATCGACATAATGTTAGAGGTGGGATTTGTGTAAATATTCAAACTCTTAATGAATCGACCTTTTTCATCCCTTAAACAACGCCAATAAAGATTTTTCATATACGCGTAATTTCATTAAGAATCAGTTTACAAGCTAGTCACTTTTTTAGATAAACTTACAGGGTTAATTTAATTAATTTTCATTAGGAAGGAATTGTTTAAATATTCTAATTATAAGGAATCTACCATTATCATCCCTTAAACAACGCCATTAAAGTTCTTCTATATACGAGCTCTTTCATTAGAAATAAATGCTTAAGTTTCTTAAGGAAACGTCGGGAGTATACATTCGAAATAGTTTTAGGAATGTTTAGATAGGAATTGTTTAAATATTCTATTTCATTAAAAATAATTTTCCAAGTTAGTCTTAGGTAAAAGTAGAGGGTACGATTGAGACAATTTTTGGAGTGTTTGGGTAGGAATGATTAAAATATTGTAATTTTACATCTACTCTTATAATCCCTTAAACAACGCTAATGAAGTTATTTCATATACCACAAAAATTTCATTTGAAATGATGTTCCAAGTTAGTTACCTTTCCTAGGTAAACGTAAAAGATACGATAGAAATTTTGTTAGGGGTGGGAATTGTGTAAATATTCAAACTCGTAATGAATCGGCAGTTTTCATCAGTTAAACAACTTCATAAAATTCTTTCGTATACGCGGACTTTTTATTTTTTATTTTATTTATTTATTGTCCCTCTTGTTCTGGACCCTCAACAGGATTTCGTCCAATTACAGAGTGGCCCGCATAATGCTTTTTAGAGGTGCCCCTCCAGATTGAAGGTCTTAAGTTGTTCAATGCTACTCCGGTATTTGGTAGTGCATGGTTTAAAATATAATATAATAATAATTTATCTTTCGAATTAGGAAAACTGCCGAAAAACCTAATTCGGAGTAGCTGTAGAGTAGAGGTAGAGGGTACGAGCGAGGAAATTGTATGGGTGTTAGGTAGTAATTGTTTATCCATTCTAATTATAAGGAACGTACCATTATCATCTCTTAAACAACCCCATTAAAGTTGTCCTATATACGAGCTATTTCATTAATAAGTAAACGTCGGGGGTACGATCCACATAATTTTAGCGATGTTTAGGTAGGAATTGTGTAAATATTCTTATTTATAATGTATCTGTTCATAACATCCCTTAACAGTGTTAATAAAGTTCTTTCAAATATAAGCAATTTCATTAAAAACAATTTGCCAAGTTAGTCACCCTTCTCAGATAAAAGCACGATTGTGCGATTGAGCCAATTTGTAGGGTGCTTAGGTAGTAATTATTTAAATATTGTAATTTATAATAAATCTACCCTTATCATCACTTAAACAGTGCTAATAAGTTCTTTCCAGCAAGATTTCATTAGGAATGATAGTCCAAGTTGGTTACCCTCTTTAGAACGTAGAGAGGATACGATCGAAACGATGTTAGAGGTAGGAAATGTGTAAATATTCAAACTCTTAATGAATCGACTTTTTTCATCCCTTAAATAATGCTAATAAAGTTTTTCATATAAGCGGAATTTCATTAAAAATGAGTTTACAAGTTCACATTTTTAAATAAACGTAGAGGGCAGGAGCGAGACAATTTTCGGGGTGGGAATTGTTTAAATATTCTAATTATAAGGAACCTACCATTATCGTCCCTTAAACAACCCCATTAAAGTTCTTCTATATACGGGCTATTTCATTAGAAATAATTTCCCAAGTTTCTTAAGGAAACGTCGGGAGTACGTTCGAGATAGTTTTAAGGATATTTAGATAGGAATTGTTTATATATTCTATTTCATTAAAAATAATTTTCCAAGTTAGTCACCCTTCTCAAATAAAAGTAGAAGGTACAATTGAGACAATTTTGTGGAATATTTAGTTAGGAATTATTTAAATATTGTAATTTATAATAAATCTAATTGTAATTTATAATAAATCTACCCCTAACATCGTAAACCGCGCTAATAAAATTGTTTCACATACCAGCAAAAGTTCATTATGAAAGATGTCCCATGTTAGACACCTTTCTTAGGTAAACGTAGAGGATACAATCGAAATGATGTTAGGGGTGGACATTGTGTAAATATTCAAACTTTTAATCAATCAGCATTTTTCATACCTTAAACAAGTTCTTTCATATATTCGAAATTTCAGTTGGGTCACCTTTCTTAGATAAACGTAGAGAGTACGAGCGAGACAATTTAGGGGTTTTTATGTAGGAATTTGTTTAATATTCTAATTATAAGGAACCACCATTATCATTCCTTAAACAACCCCATTAGGGGACTTCTATTTCGTTAGAAATAGGCAAGTTAGCCTTTCTTAGTAAGTAAATGTCGAGGATACGATCGAGATAATTTTAGAGATTTTTAAGTAGAAATTGTTTAAAAATGCTCTCATTAATAAATCTACTCTTTTATCATCCCTTAAGAAAAACACTAATAAAGTTCTTTCATGGGCGCATAGTTTCATCGAAAATTGTTTTCAAAGTTGGCCTCCTTTCGTTTGTAAACTTAGTGGCAAGGATCGAGACAATTTTAGTGATGTTTAGGTGGGAATTGTTTAAATACTCTCTCATTTATGTGTAAATTTCATTAAAATCGTTAAGAAATGCATTTCCGTGTACGGCTTACATTGTAGTTAATTCGAAAGAATCTTAACACGTGCTCATGGAAACTTGTAAAAGTACGCTGTAGTTACTTTTTAAAAACCGTGTTATACAAGTGTGCAACATAGTACCTGTTTCTTTTACAAGTGAAACGTCTCAATTTCTTGTTACGTCTAGCGTCATGTATGGATCTATTTGTTTATTATGAACGGATTTGTAAAACAAGGGTACCTTAATTACGTAATTAGACAACACGTGACGTTATAACCGATAAGTATGTGTTACTCGACTGTATATATAACAAATCAATTAAATTTCAGTTCCCGCGGGAAAACCTACCATCACTACCGCGCACAACACCTCCGCTACAGCGTTACACATAAGTTGGCGGGCTCCCCATCACGAAACCATCCACGGAGAATTTCTCGGCTACCGAATATCATATAGGCCAAGGGATCACGGGGACGAAGCAATGAAAGAAATCTGCATTCGGGATCCATCAGCCGAGGTAGGTTGGTTTTTCTCACAATATTTTGTAGAAAACTTTTAGAGCAAACGTAAACTAGAAACCCTTGGGAAATCATCGAAAGTCTGATAAAACTGCTTAATCCAATCCAATGATCGCCTATTAACGTTCTCGGTGTTGAATCGTGCACGGATCTAATTAGTATTATTACTTAATTATTATGAAAGAGAAGCCGAGATGATTTGAAATTTTAATTTGACTAGCAAGGTTTAAAATAAAATATTTGCTTAGGATTTAGCCAGGGTTTACGCCTTATTCGCTTTAATCTTTCATATTTTCTGGAATGCACTGTCACAGGAAGATAAGTATTTAATTAAACGTTGCTCTATGGACCCTCATTGTAATACAAAGCAAAATTATGAAAGAAATAGAAATATATAGCACACGCTTTTTATTTTAAGTTTAGTTTGAAGTGTAACTAATTTCTTACGGATGATTTCTTACAAACACCTTCCGTCGTAGTATTAACGAATCATTGTTTTTATGTAGTTGTTATTTTTATAATATTTCAAATGAATAATCCCATCTGATCAATGTAGACACCAACCTCCATACGGAAAAAGGGATAAATTTGTTTTTTAAATCCTTCAATCACATTCACGCAAATCATACCTAACGTTTTGATACAAATCGTCAATTTTAATTTCACCAATAAACCAGTCGGTATCAGTATCGGGTAATGATACATTGTTAACATAACATGGACGAAGCTTGCCATAAAAGAAGCAATATAAATGACAATTTTTGATATAGGTACGTATACAGGTTTATTGTAAGCGGGAATAGTCATTCATTTGCACCACGTATAGTTGTTCACTGAAATTTAAGGTGAAAAATGTGTAGGATAGAGGATATCAAATTAATTCAAATTTTTTATTGCTCTCATACAGATTCGTGGCGTCTAAATATTGTAATTAGCCGAAATTATATTCAGGAAAAGTTGGTTGGATAAATACCCTTTGTTTTAACGGAAGTGGCGAAAACCATTTCTACTAATTATACATATTTGCTATAATTTTACTTCCAAGTATTTCAACATAACCCCCCAAGTTAGTTTCCGATGAGTAAGAGAGTTAGCAGGAAGTAACCCGTAAATTTTCCCCCGAAGCGTCAGCCGGAAGGAGTACATCACCTTGTAGCAAATATAAGAATATTCCCCCATAGACAAATGTCATATGATTTCTCCTCGCATATCATCATAAAGTTTGTTTAAAGAAGGCCGACGTTTTTTAACAGACAGATTTTCATACAAGATACTTTATATTCATCACTGCTCAAAAATGCGGAACCATCAACAAATAAATACATTTGTTTCTCGTTTGCGAAATTCCTCGATTCAACCAATACGTTTCGCAAAGGTCAAACACTTTTACGTGCTGAGCGAGGGAATATCAATTTGCAGCGTTCAGTGGCCAACTGTTTAATAAATAAGTGGCTATCATGGCCGGAGATATTGTAATAAAATATGCTCAACCACGATATTTGCCAGTAATATGACCGTGGTTGGCAATTTTTAGAGAGTCCGCTGTTTAAACTCGGCCTCTCAAATGAAACATATTCTTTTATCCTCGTACTTTTTTGTTCCTTCACAGATAAAGGATGCATAGGTCCAATGTGTTTTAAATGATTATGATAAATTTGACTAATATCTCTCTAACCAAGTTATAAATGTTTCCGCGACTTTTTTCCCACAATAAATTTTTATTATTGATCGTTCGTGGTTCTCGCACGATTTTATATGGCAACAAACCGAAAACAGGCCGTGTTTTTGTGCAGAAAAGGCACACTAGGGTATGTAATAGCATTGTAAGTATTGAACTTGCCCAACTACTCTAAATTCATATTTCCTGTCTGCAAAAACTAGCTATTACCCATAAACTTGACCAAAATACCTTCTCAATTTGAAGTTCGAGTAGAAAAAAGCGTACAGTGCGAACTCTTAGGTGGGTACAATGAAACAAACACACACCACCCATAACTGCCATGAACATTCCACACACCTCCTTTTCTACAAGTACACGGCGGTAAGGCTTTCAAAATACAAAAATTATCTGAAATCCATCGTTTAACAAAAGGAACAAATCCGCACCGGTTTTCGATCGCGCATTTTGGCTTTTTAACTTTGTATACTGGGAGCTTTAGGCTTGCTAATAAGCAATCGATTTGTAAGTCAATGCTCGAACTTAATAACCTTGCCAATGTAGCGGTAATTGTGTAAACTTTAGCTGCGCATTAATAATGTTCTAATTAATCGGTTCCGGATTTTCATCTTTCCTCTAGCTGCCTAAACCAAACGCATATCAGAACTATACTATAATTATATTTTGGCCCAATAAGACTTGGTGGATACAGTATGAATATATCCACGGGAAATAAAACGCGCGCTTATTTTTCCTAAACGGCTTTAAGGCGGCTTCCACGAAGCTTTCAACCGTTACAATGGACATCATCCAAGGTGTAAGGGAATTTCAGTTACTAAATTATTTTTGGGGTAACTCGAGCACAAAATTAAACGTTTCCAACCATTCAACCACAATTTCCTTTAACGTAATTGTATAATTTATAACGTTTAACAGCCCTCTACTCCTGTCGAAACTTATCGATTAAACAGAGAACTTGCTTGAATGTACGAAACTAAATTGAATTAAGTGTTTGAATTACAATTCATTTGAGTAATAACGTCAGCTATATACCTGTGTATACTTCTTATCGAAGTTTTCAGTGGAGAAGTGGTTAAGAGATCTTGACTTTTCCCGACTGCTTCAATCTACTTCGAGATACTAGATATTTTGAAAAGTTTCTATTAACTTTCCACATAAAAAATAATCGCAGAATACGTAAATAAAATTGGTTAAAGTAAATAATAAAGTCCAGTCGTAGGAATAAATTGTTTAAAAGGCTCCACAACACTGGCTGTGTTTTCTCTTTGGATGGTCAAGCTGATGCGGTAGCACTTAAACCTGGACCTGTTGTATCATAGATAAGGTCTCCTAGGGTATCGCAGAATTCCAGGGCTTCCGAACTCCAAGGACCCAGCGTTTCTACTGCAGAAGATCTATTAATGGATTTAGGTATATGTGAATGATTGTATTCTCCAAAAGTTTTGAATAAACTGGAATAAGTCGCAAGCCCTTTGATTTAAGATTATGGCCAAGTTTACTGCAAATTTTGTTAGCAAACAACTAGAGCATCACGTTTGAAATATGAGTGTGAGACAACTTCCCATATAACGTGAGGTCGTACAAAACCAGAAATATTTTAACTGAAACGTACTCGGTGAACAACCCCGCTGGAAGAAAAATACGAGTTATAAATGGGGATGAACCACCTATAATGGATAAATGAAATCTATCGGTTGGAAACCAACATATTCCATTTTCATTAAACAGAAAATTCATATAAGCGTCTTTAAAAGAAACACACTTTTTGTGGAAATAGCAATAAATGGCAAAATGCAGCTTAACTAATCCTCCGTAGCTTAAATAAACTTCGGCTTAGGTCTTCAAAACAGACTAGTTTAAATGACAGTTACATATACATCTTTTATGTTACCCTTTTTCTTGCTTTACTTCTATTTGCATAATTCATAGACATCAAAGCGTATCCCTACAGAAAATATATGCAAGTATTACCGTTCCTTCACTGTAGGTTTGAAATCAGAGCTGGGATAGTTACTTGTAAAATGGAACTAGTTACGAGTTACTAGTTACTTTTTGGAAAGTATCTAAGTTACTTGTAAAAAGTTACTTTTCATATAAAAGTAACTAAGTTTCTAAATAAATTAAGTTACTTTTAAAAAGTAACTTAGTTTCTTCTAAGTTACATTTTGTATAAATGAAAAGGACACAACAATTTCTTTATTCTCAAAAATACAAAATAACAGAATATTTCTATAGTAAAAATGCCAGTAGAAAAAAATATTTATCTTGGAGAGAAACAAGCGCTATAGCCGTTTATCATTGATAACACTAAATTTTCGAAATTTCTGTCTGAAAGGTTGTTTCTTCTTGGCGAATCGATAAATGTTGCAAACGAAAACATGCTGAGCAGCACTCCATACAAAAGAGTTTCTTCTTTCAGGTAACACTCGAGGTAACATATGATATCCAGTCAGTAGTCACTCAACTCACTAGTCACGTAACTACGTTTTGTAACTCAAGTTACTTTTTGTAGCTAAAGTTACTTTTTGTAACTATAGTTACTTTCCTAAAGTAACAGTTACAAGTTACTTCGTAAAAGTAACTAGTTCCAAGACACTTTTAAGTTACTTAAAAAAAAGAACTAGTTATAAGTAACTAAGTTACATTTAAGTAACTTAGATACTTTCAAGGAACTTAAATACTAATTACTCCCAGCTCTGTTTGAAATATAAGCTCATGTTTGGAAATAGCACTCATTTTTCATTCATTTTAATTAACTGTGTTACGTAACTCAAAATAGAATGATAGAGGCTAAATAGAGCTTTCATTGATGTAGATAAAAGTCAAGTAGTAAAAGACAATCAGGACGAGCCAAAAGGTACTTGGGTACCTATCTTACTGTACACATGAAGGTTAAAGTTTAACAACAAAGACATTTTCACAGATTTATTCAAAAAAATTCTAATACATTTTGGCCTTTAGGCACAATCCAACTTTATAGCCTTTAAAGTCATCCCAATTTAACAACTAGAAACAGAGCTGGACTCGCTAATTAGAAGCTATTACTTAATTTGCTTTAAAATTGAACAACGAAAAATGTTGTCGCAGATCGACTAGAAAAAGACGTTGGGGTACATAGCCGGGAGATCGGGTGTTCGAATCTGGAGTGAGGTAAGAATTTTTCATCTGTGGAAGAGATTAAGATTTGAATACTAGAAACAGAGAACAGAACAGAACCAGAAAGACGATTTCTAATAGATTGTGGATTATAAAATCCAAAAATTGACAGCCACCCAGATTTCATCATTACAAACAGAGAAGAATGCATAATTTTTCTACGTG